GAGCACTGGGTGTTATACGCAAACAATGAATCATGGAACACTACATCAAAAACTAATGATGTACTGTATGGTGACTAACATAACATAATAAAAAAATTTTTAAAAAAAGCAAATAATTCTAAATCCTCTAACCCCCCAAACTCCCAATTGTTTCATCCACGCATCCCATTTTTGCAGAGACTCAAGAAGAAATGACAGACAACATGCACAGCAAAGACTGTCTGCAAACCCAGTGCTCTAGAGCAGGGATCTGCAAATAACTGCCCGTAGGCCAAATCCAGTCCTTATTTGCTTTTGTAAATAAAGTGTTAGTGGAACATGGCCATACCATTCATTTACATATCATCTCTGGCTGCTTTCATGCTCCAACAGTGGAACTGAGTAGTTCTGACAGAGACTATCTGGCCCACCAACCCTACAATATTTACTACCCGACCTTTTAGAGAAAAAATTTGCTGATCCCTACTCTACAGCCACACTGTCCAACACAGTAGCCACTAGCCAGCCACATGTGGCTACTGAGCATATGAAATGCAGCTTGCCCAAACTGAGATGTGCTCTAAGTGTAAAACACAACCAAATTTTGAAGACTTGATGAAAAAAAGAATGTAAAATATCTCAGTAACTTTTATATTGATTACATATTGAAATAATTTCTAGATATATGTACTGGGTTTAAAAATATTATTAAAATTAATTCTACCTGTTTATTCTCTGTAATGTGGCAACCAGAAAATTTTAAATTACATATGTAATTCATATTACATTACTACCAAAGAACATTGTCTGTGTGTAGGATTTAACTCAGCTGCCAGGTGACTTAGTGCACCCACTTCTATGAGGAGATAATGACAAAACCTGAGGCTTACACATTGCCATTTTTCTCAATATGTGGTCTTCGTGCTCTTTAAAAGATAAGAATTTATTAAGCAGAAAATAAATTATAAAATTCTATATACATTTTTACCTCCTAAGGCAGATGTTTACTATTAATTCACCTATCAAAATCACTGGTATCATGGGAAATTAATGAAAGACCATAGTTTGTTAAAAACAAACTATTAACATTACAAAATTTTAACACTCTAAGCTTATAATTGTAACAAACAATTTAAAACACAGTTGTAACTACATAGAAATCTGAAACAGAAGAGAATACACCAAGTAACAGTACTCATGGTTGGGTAATAAAATTTAGCACAATGTTTTAAAATTTACTTTCTAAATTGCTGTGACAGCAATTCTTACAGTTAAAACAAGAAGTAATCTAATTAATAATTTCAAGTCAAATAAAATACAAAATCATAAAACCTCTGTAAATAAAGTGTTATAATAAACCAAGTACTACAGAGTTAATATCTAAACAAAAAAAATAAATACAAAATAAAATTTTAAATTGAATTAAAAAATAAAAGTACATATACCTAATTTCCCAGAATGTCTCTACAGGAGCATCAGGATTCCACAAATCAATGCTATCTAACTGATGAAGAACCAGTAAAGCCTGAATTTTAAAAAAAGAGAGAGAAGAGTTATTCAAAAGTTTTTTTGTAAATCGAGTTATTTAATTGCAGTCCTAGGACTAACACACAGTATAAAGCAAAAGAGAAAAAAAACTCTGAAGAACCCAAATCTCTACGGAATAAATGTAGAATCAAATTATTTTAATTCCTATCATTCCTACTTTAAATGGCATACAGGGATACAGTTGAATGACTGATGAATTCAGAGGAGCAATGTATACATGTAAAATTGCTTTAAGACGACACAAACTAATTTCAGTTAAGTGTCAAAGAACTCAGTGGAACAAAAAATTAATCCCTAAGTAAGGAGAGCTCACCAAAATTAATACACACAACAATATTTTACTTCAAAGCCAAAAGACAAAGTAGAAGTTATCTTGCTCACCACAAATTCTTTTGGAACAGAAAAGATCAATTATTTCCAAAGACAAGAGAGAGAGAGGAGCAAAACAGGTTCACACTTCATAGATTATTCATTCTAAAATATTCCAATTGACAACAGAATTGAAATTGGAATTCGGTTTACAGAACATTAACAGGAATTAAATAATTTACTTAAAACATACAACTAACATACAAAAACACTATTATTAAATAAATTAAAACCATCAAAGTATGAAGAGTAAAACTAGACTCTTCCTTGAAACCTGCCCTATCCTAACTCCAATTCCACAGTGCTTCCCCCAGAGGGACACCACTGAGCTGTGCATAGTCTTCTCAATCCTTGGTCACTATATTTGGTGATTCTTTACTCCTCTTTAAAGCCTTTTATTAAAACTCCAATAATTATTTGGAACAAATAATGAGAACTGATTTCTTCCCTTAAAAGTAAATCAAATGCTTAAACTGCTAATATTTGCATTGATAATCTGCCTTACATTAGGAAAAGATATATAGATGTCTAACCTTAGACCATTTTATAATTCTAAAACTTATGATATAAAGATGAGACCTATATTATCTTATTTCAAACATTACTGTAATTACTTTTAGATAATGAAAACTTCAATTCATTGTGAGACTCTTCAAAAATTATGTAGTTTATAGCTCTCATACCAAGGAGAAACCAACACAAATTTATATTCAGTTGTCACTATTGTGTAAAAACAGTACAATTTACTGACACTCTTAAGTGGCAAATTCTCTATAGTTATGTTTGAAGAAACACTTTAACGTAATGAAAGACAATGTGTTAGCCTTTTCCCTGCCTTAATATGATTGCTTTTCTTGGTATGTTTCCTTCCATTTTATTTTCCACATATATTTTAACAAAGCTGTGAACATAGTATACTCATTCGACATTTCATAAACATTTTTCCATACTGCCATGTGATCTGCATATTTTAATGGATGTTTAATAATTCACCAAGTTGAAATATCATTCTGTCATTGAATATTAACCTGTTCTCTTACTAATGAATATTTTAAATTCTCTAATATTCTCTCATTATAAGTCAGAGCAATAAGCATATATATATATATATATATATGAGTGTGTACCTTTCCCTTTTGAATTGTATTCACAGGATGAAAAAAATACAGGAATGAATTATTTGGACAAAAAAATGGATATTTGCCCAACTTCTGCCAAATACTGTCAAACAAATACTGTCTTCCAAAAAGAATGCAAGGAGTATACCAATTTATAGGTCCAAGAGCAATGTACACAAATATAAGCGATGAGTAAAACAATGCTACAACATTTTTGGTAAAATGAAACATACAATACAAACAATAAACTACCATATCTTTTAAGTATATAGCTCAAAGAATTTTTACGAATGTAGGTAACTCCATGTAACCATTACCCAGATCAACACTGTCAGTGCCTAGAAGCCCTTTTCATATTCCCGTTAATCATTAGTGCTTGACAAAGGAAGCCACTGAACTGACTGCTACCGCCATAGATTATTACTGCCTGTTTGTTATTTATATAAAGGGAATCATACCATATGTTCTCTTTTGTGTTCGGCTGTTCTCACTGAACATTATGCTTGTGATACTGATTCATCCATGCTCTGCATTTAGCAGTAGTAGCTCATTCTTTTTTCACTGTTGTAATCAATGGAATGAATATAACCAAAATTATTTATCTATTACTGTTGATACACTTGAGTTGTTTCCAGTCTTCTGGGGTGGGGGGGGGGGGAGTGCTATTACAAATTATACTGCTATTAATATTTTTCATATGTATCTTTTGGTAAACATACATATGCATTTCTATTGGATACATACCTAAGAATAGAATTGCTAGGTCATTCGTTTACTTTGTAGATATCGCAAAAACAATTTTTAATAGTGGTTGTACTAATTTACATTCCTACTAGCAGAGTGTGAATGAAAACATAACATAGTCATTTGATATTTCATAAAGCTTTTTATTACTGATTTTGGTATTTCATAAAGCTTTTTATTACTGATTTCTAGCTTAATTACACTGTTGTTGCAAAAAAATTCTGAATGATTTCAATCCTTTAGAATTTGTTGATACTTAATGCTCAGGATATATTTAATATTCCATGCGTACTTGAAAATAAAGTATTTATTGAGTGCAATGTTCTATGTATGTCAAATAGTTCATATCTGACATAACCACGTTGTTCAAATCTTCTATCCTTACTTTTTTTTTTTTTTGGCTTGTTTATTCTACCAGACTTTAAGAAAAGTATGCTCAAGTATGCCACTAAAACTGGACTTGTCTATCTCTACTTTTACTTCACCTATTTTTATTTATTTTGATTTATACTTATTTATATATATTATTTATTTGTTTTTAAGGTCAGACAGTTTTATTTTGTAATAATGAGATGTCCCACTTTATCTCCAGTGATGTTTCCTGCTTTAAACTCTGTATTTGTGTATTACTCCAGCTTTCTTGAGTTCATGTTTGTGTGGCATATTTTCCTAGCCTTGAAATATCAACCCCTCAGTGTCTTTATATTTAAGCTGTCTCTCTCATAAAGACCACATTGTAAGATTTTTGCACTCTTTGGTATTCAGCCAAGAGAAATGAAAGCATATGTGTAGACAAATGCACAAATTTGTACATACACATTCCTAGTTTTATTGGTAATAGCCAAAAACTAGAAACAACACAAATATCCATCAACAAATAAATAAACAAATCGTGCTCTGGCCACCAAATGGAACACTATACAGCAATATACATGCGGTAACATAGATGAATTAATGGTAAGCATGCAGAGTTAAAGAAGACAGACAAAAAAAGTACACTTTATAATTCCACTTATATAAAAGGCAAGTTAGCCTGCAATAACAGAAAGCAGATCAGTGGTTGCAGGGGAAGGAGGGGAGTAGACAGGGCATTAAGAGGAGAGGAAGGAAGGGAACACAAAGGAGCACGAGACAACTTTCAACAATGATGGATATGTTTGTTCACCTATCTGGCCACTAACAGGTGAATAAATTGTGCTTTAATCATCAAACAGAATACTTATCAACAAAAAAAGGAACTAACACATGTAATATCATGGACAAAGCTCAAAAACTTGTGAGTGAAAGAGGCCAGATGGAAAGAAATACATAGTCTAAGATTTCATTCATATGAACTTCCAGAACTGGCAAAACTAATCTATGATAGAAATCAGACCAGTGGTATTTGGGACAAGGAGTGGGGGCACAAGACATAGGAGAACTTCCCAGGTTGACTAGAAATATTCTAAATCTTCTATGATTTCTATTATATGTAAATTATACCTCAATAAAATTGATTTAAATTTTATAACAGTATATTTATAAAGCTTCATAAAACTCTATTTAGCAATCAATATAAAAAATTTTTTTAAGTCAACTGTATTCACACCCACTAGGATGGCTATAATCCAACAGACAGACAACAAATGTTGACAAGAATGGAGAAATAGAACCCACATACACTGCTGGTGGGAACAGAAAAGGATACAGTCACTTTGGAAAGCAGTTTGGTCATTTAAAAAGTTAAGCAGTTAACCATATGACCCACCAATTCCACTGGTAGGTATACATACCTAAGACATATATCCACACAAAAACTTTTATACAAATTTCATAGCAGTATTATTCATAATAGCAAAAAAATAGAAATAATACTAAATGTCTATCAACAGATGAATAAACAAAATGTCATATATGCATGCACTGGAATATTATTTGGCAATAAAAAACAATGAAGTATTGTTACGTGCTACAATATGGATGAACCTTGAAAACATTATGTTAAAGAAGCCAGAAATAAAAAAGCCACATATTTTATGATTCCATTTATATGAAATAGCTAGAATAAACCAATCTATAAAGACAGAAAATAGATTAGTGGTTGCCAGTGGCTAGGGTGACAGGGAATGGAGAATGGCAGGGTTTCATTTTGGGGTGACAAAATGTTTCAGGATTAGACAGTGATGATGATGGCTGCACAACCTTGTGAATATACGGAAAAACCCTTAACTGTATACTTTAAGAGTAAACTTTATGATATGTGAATTAGATCCCAATCTAAAATTCAATATATATTTTAAGAACTCCAAAAAGTCAGCTGCAATCAGAACATTTTGAGGTTTTGTATTAAGTATCAGAATTTGCACAATGTTTCTGCTACAAGAGATATAAAGCAAGTAAACCCCTTCTTCCTCCACAGACTTCATAAAACAGCATACAGACACAAACATACCATTTCTAGAAATGCCATCTCTGACAGATGTCCATAAATGACATCTTATCACTCATAGAAACCACAGATGAAAGAAACATGAAGAATGTACATAGTTACAACCTTTCCTTCAAGAGTCTAGAATTCATCTCCCCTCACCTCCATTGCTTCCTGAGCAATCTCTGGCATGTGTGACTGAGGGACCAGCTGGACGAGCCCTGTTATTAACTCCGCTGTACTGCCTTGGGTTTCAGGCCCCTGTTTTCTTGGATTCTGCAGAGAAAAAAGCAAGTTCAATTAAAAAACTGTATCTACCACTTGACAGGAGCTAGAGAGAAAAGAGAAGGGAGAATGCCTGTTAATGGGTACACAAGGCTTCTTTTTAGGGTGATGAAAATATTCTAGAATTAGTGGTGATGCTGCACAATCTTGTGAATATACTAAAGACCAGTGAATAGTACACTTTAAAATGGTGAATTTTATGGTATGTGAACCACAGCTCAATAAAATACAATAATTGTGGAATTTTTTTAAAAGTCAAAACTGGGGGCACCTGAGTGGCTCAGTCGGCTAAGTGTCTGCCTTCAGCTCAGGTCATGATCCCAGGGCCCCTGGGATCGAGCCCCGCATCGGGCTCCCTGCTCAGCAGAGAGCCTGCTTCTCCCTCTGCCTGCCCCTCTGCCTATCTGTGCTCCGTCTCTATCTCTCTATCAAATAAATATTTAAAAAAAAAAAGTCAAAACTGCTTTTGTTAAGGATTCACTTAATCTACATCTATAGTGTTCCTTCATGTGAATGATGTCCAGAGAAAATCCTAATGAAAAGAAAACAAAAACTAGGAATTAATTAATTTCTTAATTAAGAAATTATATCAATAAAAGGAGTAGATAATTTTTTTTTCACTAACACTACACTGGCTAAATAATATACCTCCGGTTTGTAACTGATCAAAGACAAAGAACGTACACGGCACGATCACCCTGGGCAACCCTCTTGTCTAATATAAAGCATCTGACCCAATCCATCCAAGGCTGGAATCCACCCCTCCGGATGCCTGTACTTTTTCATTGTGGAAAAACATTGTATACTAAGGAAAGCAAATCAGTGGCATATATAAATGCAAATGTCTACCTAAAGAGACTAAAATGCTTCCTGTACCTTGGAAGCATCTATTTACACTTCAAGAATATATGGTTCTTTTTAAAGATTTACTTATTTTAGAGAGACGGTGGGTGGGGGGAGCAGAGAGGGAAGGAGAGAGAGAATCTCAAGCAGACTCCCTGCTGAGCATGGAGCCTGAAGCCGGCCAGGGCTCCATCTTATGACCCTGAGGATCATGACCTGAGCCGAAATCAAGTCAGACGCTCAACCCACTAAGACACCCAGGCGCCCCTATATGGTTCATTTAAGTGGGACCAATGCAACACGTGCCACTATTTTACTTTGCTAACTGTGGATTCTTTCCCATTATAATGATTAAGGTAAACCCTCATCCCAGAATATCTGTAATTCAAAACTATTAGCCTACTTTATAAAATTTAGATTCATTCACACGTAATAACATTTATTGGATACCAAAGACATGGCAAGTTAAAAAGATGTGTTTCCTACCCTCTTGGAACATGTGGTCTGGTGGGAAAGACAGACATCAATAAAATCACCAGACCAACAACTGTAAAACTGCAAACGAGAGAAGAACTGCAAGGTACGTGCTGCTAGGAGCACCTTACTAGAGAAAGGGGGCACAGTCAGGGAGGCTCCCTCCGGGTAGTGAGAGCAGGTCCGAATGAGCTGGAATTATGCATAGAAAGAGGAAAGGGAAGCATATCATAAGTCAAAGGAACAGCAAGAGAAGGTATGAAGGAATGGGATAAGTGATATGGAATGAAGACTGAGCACCACTACAGTTAAAAAGAAAGAGAAAAATAGGATGCTAAATGTGGCAAAAGTGGTAGATGGGAGTCAGACTTTGCATGCCCCTATAGGTCTATTTGAAGTTTGGTCTTTATTCCAAGAGCAATTTCAACTAAAAGGTTCTAAGCTGGGCAAGAGACATGATAAGATTTGCTTTTTAAAGACATCACCATAACTTTAACTTCAGTGCAAAGAAATGTTTACAGGAAGGTAGATGAGGGTACAAGCTGGGCCTTGAGGAGGGCTGACAGAATAAGAGCAGTACGCATTAGGGCAGAGATGGTAGGGATGGCAGACAATAAAATCACATGACCTTAAAAATACCATGACTGACATCATTTAGTAGTTATTCCTACACTTCTCCTATTTACTACAATTTAGAATTCTTCATGTAAATAGGAAATAATTAAGTATTTATTTATTTTTAAAGATTTTACTTACTTATCTGTCAGAGAGAGCGAGTGTGTGCCCAAGCAGTGGGGGCGGCAGGCAGAGGAAGAGGGAGAAGGAGAAGCAAGCTTCCCCAAGCAGGGAGCCCAATGTGAGACCTGATCCCAGGAACTCGGGATCATGACCTGAGCCGAAGGCAGACTCTTAACCGACTGAGCCACCCAGGCGTCCCTACAATTAAGTATTTACAGTGAATCACTCTTTTAACTTACCTTTGGTTACGCCGAGAAAAGTTGCTTCACCACTAGATGGCAGCAAAGAAAATAATTTCAATATTAAATGACTTCTGGCTAAATTTCAACCTTGGAAAACAGCAAGTTTTGTTTAAATTCTTGTTCTTTGACTAATGAAATACTTAACACTGAAGGCACCAGTGGCTCTGGTGCATTCTTTACCCTGACGTATAGCACTGCAGAGCGATGGGAATTATATTACATCAAATGCATGATGAAATCCCACCGAAAATAACTTGTGCTACAAAGACGTGAGGAGAAAGGGGATTTGATTACTTTCATAGTCTCACTGAGAAGACTTTATGGAATTTTCCATGCCAGATTCTAATAACATATTCTATGAAACTCCCAAATTTGGATGGGCTTCTTCAAAGAATTCAAAATATCACAGGCCATCCTTTGGCATTACTAATCCCTTTAGGAATTCTGTGTGTGTCCCTCTCTCCCCTTTTGTTTCTCTGCAGAAAAACTACTCATGTACACATTTTTTAAAATTCAAGGGGTTCACAGAACTCTTGAAAATATGGACATCAAGTAATGAACCCCTATATATAGTAATTTGAAAGCACCTTATCAGCACTTATAAAACCTATTGCTAAACAAAGCAGTAAGAAATTTTTCTGGACGCTGCTCTCCAGGGACTGCAGCAACTTCAACAAAGGTTAAAAAGGTTATCCTATGACCTTCACAATACAAAACGGTCATATTTGGGGTATTACTAACATTAATATTAATGTCAACTGTCTTTTATTAATAGTAATAATAGTTGACATTTATTTGGTGCTTATTATGCATTTATTAAAGATTGTTCCTAAAAGCATGAGTGTACTATCTCAAGCTTCTTAACAATCTCTCTGAGACACGAACTATTATCATCGTTTTGAGAAAAGGAAGACACAGAGAGGTTAAGTCACCCAAATCACATCGCTGGTTTGTCTCCAGAGCCCATGCTTTTAATCGCTTCATATAACTAGCACTCATTTACATCTGGTAGTTCCTAACTACTTTGTGTACCACAGTGTTGCCCTCAGGAATCAAATACCATCTAACGCTGCAAAGACAGAGTTATGACAATAATTAAGTGCTAACCACACCCATCTGCACCCCCTTCTCCTTCCAATATAGTATTTGCAGGCAAAGCCAGTGATAATAGGTTGATGACAGAAGAAAGGGAAATAAAAAAGCTAAGTGGTCTGGCAAGCCCAACTGGAGATTTAAAAACCAACTGCGAACAAGAGAAAGGACTTGGATTTATGTTTGCTTCATTACCTCCACCCCCACCCCAGGATAATGTCTAACTAATATAAACGTGGTCACAAGGCAAAGAAAGAAGAGCTCACAAAAATATGTTAGTTTAATGATAGGGAAAATTAAGAAAAAAGGTTAAGAAATCTACAGTAGTATTACAGAAATGTAACTTCTCTGTAAGTTAGTTTTTTTTAAAGATGTCTTAGGTTTCAAGCATCATCAGAAAGGATCAGGAGTGTTCTTTAGCTAGTAATCATCTCCAAAGTCTTGGCATTTTACTTAAACCAAATTAAGTTAGCGTAGTAATTTCAAGGCATTTCATAAAAAATACTTACACAAAGCAAGAGCTTTGGATCTGCATGAATTAGTTTCACCATGGACAAGAGAAGATACTTATAGCTTCTTGTCTCCAGGTCTGTAGGTTTTTCTTTAAATTTAAGGCTTGTTACTTTTTCTTTAAATGTAAGACTCTAAAAATAAAAACAAAAACATGTCATCATCTTGTAAAAATCAGACATCAAATTCAAGACAATAGCTAACTTTTAAAAATAAACCCATTATAAAAAAGCTTTGAAAAAACAGCCATTTTATATGACCATATGTGTGGTATGAGTACAAACATCCAAAAGTATAAGGTTAATATTACTAAGCTTAAAAAACAAATGAAAACTATTTTTGCAACATTTATATTATTCTTATATATATCTAATAAAGCTTAAGTGACAATTTATTAAAAACACTAAACACTTTAATTGACTCCTAAGTAAAAACAATTTTCCAAAATGTGGAAAACATTAGGGATAAAATATTTAGTCTATAGCTCTCACAAATACATACACGGACCTATTCATTTAACAAACATTTATCCCACACAAATATTGCATAGAATCTATATTAATTTTATTTTTTTTAAAGATTTTATTTATTTGAGAGAGAGA